TGTACCTTTCACTAGATTCGAGCCTTCTCCGATTGTTGACGGTCCATGGTATATACTCTACCAACCGTCTGAGACTCTAGCATAGGTTGAACAACAGAGACCGGAACAGCAGTAGCTTGAACTGCCATAGTCCTTGCTTCATTCCCTTGCACTTGGGAGGAGGTCCTCTATCAACAAACTTCTTCTGAGTACCGGGTTTTTTGAACAAGTCAAAGGGCTTATTCGCATTCAGCTTCTTGCCTTGCACCTTCCTGTTCTTCCAATAACCTGAGCCCGTTGCTTTATTGGAACTAGGTGCCTGGGCCTCAGAAGACTTCTTGGCTTGGGACACCTTATACACTTCTTCCACCTTTCTACACTGGTTTACAAACCGACTGAACTCTCGGATGTCACAATTTGACATCTTCCGAGACATCTTCTCATTAAGACCCCATTGGAACTTGGAGGTCATTTCAGCCGGGGTGGGTAAGGCTCGCCCATAGTTGGCGTATTTCACCAACTCATTGAATTTTGAGAAGTATTGGTCAATAGACATCGACCCTTGTTTGAGATCGTTATACTCATTCTGCTTTTGTTCCCTAGCCTCTCTAGGGAAGTAGTTATCCAAGAACAATGTCTCGAATAACCGCCATGTGATCTCCCGACCTTCAGCTTCTAATGGCTGCACGGTATTTGTCCACCAATCTTCTGCTTCCTCTTCCAGCATATAAACAGAGTAAGCCAACTTCATTGCGTCAGGGCACCTCATCACCCTGAATATCTTCTCCATAGCTTGGAGCCATTTTGCAGCCGCCATTGGCTCATAACCTCCCTTAAAAGAAGGAGGTTTATGTTTCGGAAAGCCATCAATCTCCTTTCCTCCATTTCATGATCACCGACATTTTCAACTTGAGGTTGACGAACCTCGGTGTGATGACTCAGACTCCCAGAGTGGTGACTACCTTCACCCTCATTGTTACCCACTCCACCCTCTTCCTGTGACGGAGGTGGAGAAGGCGTAGCAGTGTGAGGAGGAGGAGTGGGTTGCCGGTTCACGGGCCTAGGACCCCTCAACGTCCTCAGCTCGGTCATCATCGCGGCCATAGCAGTCCGCGAGTCTTCATTTGTCTTTAACAAATTTTCATTGGCTTGCCTGCTAGCAGCCAACTCTCTCTGAACGGCTGCAAGAGCTTCAGCCACGGGATCAGGCGGTACGCCCGTTGCCCCACGGCCACTTCTAGGCCTCACAAGAGCAGCCAAAACAGGTTCTGGCTGAGCATTGGTGTTTGATGGTCCGGGGTTGTTTCGGTTCCTCGTCATGTCACTACACATGTTACACAAAGAAGTGAGTTGATCAGGCCCACACTTAGTGATCACAAATGCAATAATCATACAGAGTACTAAAACAACTATAAAGCATCAAACACTAAGCATACTCAACAATAGCTAACAGTTATTCCCAACGAAACTGCTCTGATACCATAAAATGTAACACCCCGTTCTAGAACCGGTTTGTTAACATCGCATTATGATATTAAGCGCAGTTACAATCACATGGGTTCAATTAAAATCCGGATAAATTTTTCATTTTAAAACGTACCGAACTTATAATACCCAATTTCGTGATCATAACCATATTACCTTGCGGAAACAGATAAATTAAGCTTAACATCATGTTCATTTCCCATTTTTAAACCATTAATTTACTTCTTGTTTAGTTCAATACTTCTACTATATTGTAGGTTTCTTCATTAGCTACCTGTGGCTTCAAACCGTGCTCAAATCGGAGCACTGTAGCCCAAGTTAGGACCATTTGAAGCAACACAAGAGAGTGTTGGTCACAGGCCCAGCGCGCTTCAGCGCGCTACCGGGCGCTCAAGCGCGCGCTATCGGGCGCTAAAGCCTCCATCTGGGCGCTTAAGCGCACGGAGGCAGTAAGCATCAGCATTTCCAGTGTGGATGGGCGCTTAAGCGCGCAACAGGGCGCTCAGGCGCGCTAGCCTGGGCGCTCAAGCTCCCACTGGGACGTTTTAGCGCGCAGAGACAGAAGCATCTCCTCCTTCAGTGGCGAAGGGCGCTTAAGCGCGGACCAGGGCGCTCAAGCGCGCAACCCTGGGCGCTTAAGCCCCACCCTGGGCGCTAAAACACGAGGGGGCAGTAAGCCACCCAACTTTCTGCAGCAAAGGGCGCTTAAGCGCACGCCAGGGCGCTCCAGCGCGCAATCCTGGGCGCTTAAGCCCCCACTTGGGCGCTCCAGCGCGAGGAGGCAGAATGCATTGGCACTCGCAGGGGCAGCAGGGCGCTTGGGCGCGCTCCTGGGCGCTTAAGCGCGCTGCCAGGGAATTCCAATTCCCACATTTCTCAAGTCCAAGCCTAGGGGAAAATGCATCCCCATTACAAACCCCAAATGTCCATGCCCCAAAACTAAATCCTAGCACTCATCCAACCTCTCCTCATGAGATTTAGCTAGAATTTGGGCAGCATGACCTTTGTTTTCTCATCGTTTACCAGTTTAAACGAAGAGGGTACCTAATTGATTTTCAGCCCAACCAATTCAACAACTCAATACATAACAAGCATGCATATATTGAATTCCAAGTAGGCATCATTTACATTACATATCCTTTACAAATCATAGAACTTAGCTTACAAAACACTATGATCATTCCCTTGGCTCCCATCAACAAAAGGTGTAACCAAAGGCATGAGCATAGGCTAAGTTCATCCAATGAATCAAGATATACAAATGATCATGGGCTTTCAAAATAAAATCCTATACATGTCAACTACAAAAGGCATGCATAAACTCAAAGAAGTGCCATATTTCATGCATAATCTAGGTATGGCCACTTGCCACCAGAGGCTCCTGCAGCATCCTTACCTGAAAGGGGGTCCCCACAACACGGGGTGAGATATACGAATATATCCAGTAAACCAGGGGTCCTTGGAGCATCTCTCCACCCCACAGTTCCATATCAGTGTAATAGCAATAACAATAATAATGCAGTAAATACATATCTATGCAAAGTGCAATACATCTCCAGGAGAAATCCCTCGAGCTCTCAAGCTGTCCTAAGGAAACTCAGATGCAAATAGTCCTACTGGCCAGCTAACTACCAAGTATGATTTACGCATCGTCATGCCACATACCAACATAGGGAAACACCATCCTATGCCACACCAAATGCATACACATACGTATAACAAAGCATTACACTATTTTATTGCATTTATATACACAATCACAACCTCCACCCTTTCAGGGCTTGGTAGAACAGTCAAGGGAATTACACCCAAGGTCCGAAGGCTTACCTCAATGCTTCAGTCAACCTTTGTTCTTCACCAACAGTTTCAGCAATCAACTTTTACAAACATACACCTACACATGGTGTAATGCAATCAACACATTGCATCCAAGAGTATTTCACAATCAACCATCAATTACTCAATTCAAAGCACAACACAAGTATGAGCTTACCAATTCCAATGAGCTATTCAAGCTCCATAGCTTGCTCCAATGGTTGATCACTCACGGTTGGTCCAAATGTCTCAATCCTAGACATCACAAGGATCCAATCAATCATTCAACTCACTAATTGTTCAACATGCTAGAATACTAACCAATCCAAGCATGAATTTTCCAATATTATGAACAATTATCAAATGACTATCTAGGCTCATTTCCACCGATTAAATGACATTCCTAGCATTTTCCATAACATGCTCTAAGCTCCATTCTTCCTAGAACATAGCTAATTCAACTACATTTCATAAAAATCCCAATTTACTATTCACAAACCCTAACTCATGCAAATTTCAAGGAATCATGAGGTTCAAGGGTTAGAATCTTACCACCAATGGTCACACAACCAAGGATTGATGGCTCCTCAAGCTTCAATGGAGGTAGAAACTCTCAAAACCCCAAATTTCTCCAAAGGGCCGAATTTTTGAGAGGCAATATCCCTCTCCACAATGCTCCCCACTCAAAACAAAGCTAGGATTATGAAAGAGGGGAAGATTTAGAGTGGTTTAGGCTTTTGAATCACTCCAATCGGTTGGGATTGCTCTTCCTCTCTCTCCCTCTCTCCCTTTCTCCTCCTTCTCCTTCTTCTTCTTTCTCCTTCTTTTCTATTTCTGGCGTCGACGGGCTGGGTGGGAAATGAGGGTCATTTGGTGACTTAAGTCACTTAACATAGGTTAAGTGGCTCTAAGCGGGTATTGGTTCGTCTATCTATTTAACTCCAATAATTACCAAACTTTACCCAAAAGTCTGGAATATTATTCTAGGAATATTACTATTTTTATTTTTATATTTTGGGTACTTTTGACAGTACCCATTTATACCCCTTAATTTTCACTGAGTACACTTTTTAACTCCAAAGTGACTCAGATTCATTTTATTAAGCCTCATACTTAATTTCACCCAGTAAAACATGTTTAATTAATTAATTACACTTGATTTCCTAATTAATTAATATGGGCTATTATAGTCCGGCTTACGTATTGTAGCGCCGTGACTAGAGACTCAGTTAATGATCTTAATTATGTTATGAGGTTATTCAGTATAGATATATGTCTTTTGCATTTACATATAGGCAATGTTTTGGAAATGAATTAAGTAATTCAACTTGGTAATGATAATGACGTCATAATTGAAAAGAAAAAGAATATTCCGCAGTTTTAATTAAGCGTGGCTTAATACGATGACATGTTAACAAATCGGGCATCCACGGGGTGTTACATTTTATGGTATCAGAGCACTTTCTAGGAAAAAGCCTGTATGTATTGCAATAACTTAGGATGTTTGGTTGCGAGTCTGTCTTGTGTGTTCTCTCTGTTGGATTTTGCTATGATAATGCATATGTGACCACATTGCGTGGGCCTGATCAACTCATTCTGTGTAACTTGTGCAGAGTCATGGTACTATCTAGGAGGAACCATGAGACCACTGAGGATCAGCCAGATCCTGTCTTGACTGCATTGGCTGAGATGCAGGCAGCTAGACTAGCCGATCAGGAGGCCACTAGATTGGCCAATGTGGCGATGATGGACGTCGTTCGAGAGGAAAACCAGAAGGCTACAGAGGATGTCCTTGAGGCAAGCAGATTGGCGAACATGACCATGATGAGGATCATGTTGGAGGAGATGCGGGCTGGCCACAATGAGGGTCAGTTTCCACCGCAACCACCTCCACCGCCACCATCACCACCGCCTCCACCTAGTCTTCAGGACGACAGCCAGAGCCATGTTGAGGGCACTGGTCATGTTACTGGGGTGATGGAGCCCTATGTAGAGCCTGCTGAGGATCACGATATTATAGACCGCCGGCTTAATGCTTTCTAAAAGCATAAGCCACCTTCCTTCGATGGGTCGCTTGATCCCATTGCTGCTGCGAGATGGCTGCAGGCATTGGAGAAGATCTTCCGGGTTATGCAGTGTACTGACCCGCAGAAGCTGATGTTCGCCACTTACATGTTGGAGGGCGATGCACATGAGTGGTGGATGAACAACTCTCGTGCCTATGAGATACAGGGTCATATTATGACATGGCCATTCTCCGAGGACTGCTTTTTGGGCAGATACTTCTCTTACGATGCGCAGGAGAGGAAGCAGGGGGAGTTTGATAGATTGGTGCAGGGCTCGATGTCTATTGACGAGTACCTGGCCAAGTTTAACGAGCTTGTGAAGTTCGCCCACTTTTGGATGGTTGTGCCCACTACGACCTTTTTGGCTTCTAAGTTCCACAGGAGACTTAGTGAGGTGATTGCAGAGCATATTGCTGGAGCTGCATCGAGAGATTTTGGTACACTGGTATAGCAGTGTAAGGACATTGAGGATGTCTGCATTACGAGTAAGGCCAAGAGGGCCAAGATTGCTGAGACAAAGGGAACTGGTGGTTCCACTTCTTGGAGAGACAGGAAGTTTGTCGAGAATGGCAAGGGGAAGCAGTTGGCGGCTAGGCAAGCGCCAAATCAGTTTAAGAGGACTTCTGCTCAGGGGAGTACAACGAGACCTCCTACTCCCAGATGCTTGGGATGTGGGAAGGTTCATCTGGGGTCATGTGCTTCAGGTCAGACTATATGTTTCCAGTGTGGCAAGAAGGGCCACTATGCTAGAGAGTGTCCATCGTCAACGGCGAGAGCTGCAGCAGTTCAGGAAGTTCCATTACAGATAGTTCCCCATTCACCTACAGCGGCACCTATTGTGCCATCTGCCACGGGACGAGTTTACACTTTGGATCGGCAACAGTCGGACTGAGCTCCGAACCTTGTCAGAGGTACTGTTTCCATTGGTGGATCTTTTGTTGATGTATTGTTTGACTCCGGGGCTACACATTCCTTCATTTCTACCCTGATTGCTATGGAGCTTGAGTCGCCCATGTCTATGCTTTCTCCACCGTTGCGGGTGACTACCGCCACCGGAGAAAGATGTGATTCTACCACTGTTCATCGCGATGTAGCGTTTCAGTGGGATGGCCGTGAGTTCTCGGTAGACCTTATAGGATTGTCGATGGCCAATTTGGAGATTATTCTGGGCATGGATTGGTTGTCCAAAAATTGTACATTGATTTATTGTTGTGCCAAGCGAGTTGTGATGTCTCCGGGTGATGCCACAGCCAGTTCCTCGCCTTTTATTTCATTACTGCAAGCTAGGAGAGCCTTGAGAGTAGGGGCTTTTGGTTATGTAATGTTGGGAGGTTTGGTGAGTGGTTCACAGGAGTATATCGCTGGCATTTCTGTGGTGAGGGAATTCATCAAAGTGTTCCCCGAGGAGATTCCTGAGTTTCTGCCACAGCGGGAGATAGAGTTCTCCATTGACTTGCTGCCTGGTGTGGGATCTATTTCATTAGCTCCATACCGGATGTTGCCACCAGAGTTGGCTGAGCTGAAGAAACATATTGAAGATCTTTCGGCGAAAAACTTCATTCGACTGAGTGTGTCTCCGTGGAGAGCACCAGTCATCTTTGTGAAAAAGAAAGATGGAACAATGCGATTGTGCACCGATTACAGACAGTTGAACAAGGTGACAATCAAGAACAAGTATCGCCTTCCACGTATTGATGATCTGTTGGATCAGCTGAAGAGCGCTTGTGTATACTCAAAGATTGACCTCCGGTCCAGATACCATCAGATTCGGGTGAAGCCGGAGGATGTCCCGAAGACCGCATTTTTTTCGAGATACGGTCACTATGAGTATTTGGTGATTCCTTTTGGACTCACAAATGCACCCGCAGTGTTCATAGACTACATGAACAGGATTTTCCAGCCGTATCTAGATCAGTTTGTGATTGTCTTCATTGACGACATATTGATTTACTCCAAGACTGAGGAGGAACATGCTGAGCACTTGAAGATTGTGTTGCAAGTGCTGAAGGAGAAAAAGCTATATGCTAAGCATTCCAAATGTGAATTTTGGCTCAAGTCCGTAAATTTTTTAGGACATGTGATTTCTGCAGAGGGAGTCGCAGTGGATCCGAACAAGATTGAGGTCGTGCTTGATTGGGAGAGGCCCAAGACGGTAACCGAATTTAGGAGTTTTCTGGGTTTGGCAGGGTACTACCGGAGGTTCATCAAGAGATTTTCCATGCTGGTTCTGCCATAGACTCGCCTTACCCACAAGGAGACGCCATTTGTGTGGACTCACGAGTGTGAGGAATATTTCCAGGATTTAAAGGAGAAACTGACTACCGCACCTGTGTTGGTCCTTCCTGATCCTGCTGAGGAAGTCGAGTTGTACACCGACGCCTCTAGAAAAGGGTTGGGTTGTGTGTTGATGCAGCTGGGCAAGGTAATTGCCTATACTTCGAGGCAGTTGAAGCCTCATGAGAAGAACTACCTGACTCATGATTTGGAGTTGGCTGCGATTGTGTTTGTGGGTTTGGGAGGAAAAGGGATTTTAATGGAAGAAGAAATGAAACGCACGTCGTTGTTTTGAAGCATTGTGGACTCCGTTCTACGTTTCATTGTGGCCAAGTTAATATGTCTTCAATGTTCTATAGGCTAAGTTTTGACTTCGGCCCATTTAAGGTCCAATTGATTTCCAAAATTACATGAACTTCTTTTGAACTTGGTCAATGTTATTAGTAGCACTCCACATCCACACACTAGCTGAGGTATTTATCAATTTTGTATGGATAATTTATTATTTGTGCTTATGAATTTTCTTCTATTATATTTTATTAATGTGAAATATACTTTTTATATTAAAAATATTATTTAATACTAAGATGAATCAGAATGTATCAAAATACCAATATTTTAAAGTAACGTATCGAAGTCTCGTGTGTCGGAAACATATCGAAAACGCCGTGTCAATATCGATGTTTCATAAACAATCTTATTTTATATTCGCAAGAAGCTAACTACATAAATCAAATCTATGCCCTCTAAATTATATTGACTATAACATCAATAGTTATGCCAATGTTCCCTACTTTAAAAGGAAAAGGTACGAAAACATCTTGCATATCTAGATGGAAAATTGAGTGGTCAAAAAATGTAGTTATAAAAATTTGAGGTACCAATTGTCTGGAGCAATGCCAGAAAGGTTTTTCACCCGTTGAAGTTTGTAAAGTCATGCAAAAGGATTCCAACATGAATTTTTTGTTGTCCCAAAATGATTCAAGTATAATGCATCATATATTTGATTGTCATCTTTCATATGTGCTTTTTAATACATCAAAATAGATTTACGATTTCTAATGAATTAAGAAGCACACGTGAAAAATGACAATCTAACATTAAGATGCATCATACTATGATTATATAGGGACAACAAAGAATTTGTGTTGGAATCCTTTTCCATAACATCACAAACTTCAACATGAGAAATAAACCTTTTACCCTGCTTTGTAGTCGACTTATAACTAAATTTACTTCATTACCAATCAATTTTCCATCCAAGATATGCAAGAGATTTGGAGTTGGCTGCGATTGTGTTTGCTGCCGCCCCCTATCTCGACGCGGTGTCTGAGATGTCATCCTCGACCTGGACATGATGATAATCCACGTTGTTTCCAATCTGGTTCTGAGGTTGATTTACCTCCTCCAGGACTGGATCCAGCGGTAGGTTCTGATTTTGGGATAGTTGCTGGCTATTGCTCCTTGTTTGGATTGCCATCCTTTGTCAGATTGATGGGAACTTCAAACTCGCAGACGAAGTTCCCCACAGACGGCGCCAATGTTCTGTCCTTAAGACAGAGATGTCCAACCTAGTAGGCTGGTACGTTGATCTTGGATCTAGTGCCCTCTCCAAGGTATCTATGAATGAGATACCCTTGAGTCAAGCAGATCACTGTGCACAGAATATTATAACAGCGTTAGCCAATTGGGTGTGTGTGTGTGCGCACAGTGACAGCATAACAGTAAGAGAGAGAGCGTACCGTACCTTTAGGGTTTATCTTGTATTTATAGAGGTTACTTGTGGGTAGTGTGGATGGGCTTTTGGTACCTCTGATGAGGGCCTAGGCCTGTTTGCTATGCTGTCGTGTTAGGATTAGTATCCTTGATGGATATCTATCTTTTGTTAATATCAATCTGTATCTTAAATTGTCTCTAGTTGGGCTTACCACTTAATAGACCCATTATATGAGTCCATAACAAAAACTTACTCTATTTCTGATCTATTTATTATATAATTAGTTGGCACAATAATTAGCTACCACAACACTAATATTTATATTTATGTTCTGAATTATTAATAGTTGGTAGCACTTGAGTCGTTGGCTGCCACTGTTTATACTTGCTCAAATGTCCATTTGAGCTGTCTCTGGCCTGTTTCCAAATTTTAGTTATTACCTGCTTGAAACACGAGTTTTTTTTTTTTTTTCTGAAGCAGCAATCATGGATTGACACGTATTATAGATAAAAATTAGATGGATTAGACATTGGCTCGCTAACAAATTAGGGAAAAGTTCACGGATGTCTTCTGTGATTTGCTTTAAATTTCTGAGATTTTTTTTATCACATATGTTCTTGTGCTTTGTAAAAAACAAAAAATCACAGGGACATATGGGATAAAAAAAACATACCCTTTTGCAAATCACAGGGACATATAGAATAAAAAAAACACAAAGACATAGATAATTATGAAGCAAACCACACGGATATTGGTGAACTTTTCCCAACAAATTACACATAAACAGCAAATAACTATGGTAAACAAAAAAAAGTGGAATTGATTTTGTTATGCTTCATTTTTTTTGTTGTTGATATTTTGAAAATTTATTTTTTGTAAAAACTAAATTTGAAAAATTTTAATAATTTATTAAAAAATATAATATAGCAAAAATTCTAACCGAATAAATATTTTTCAAAATATAAAGTTACTATTTCAATTTGATTATTATGACGGTAAATTATTTCAATAAAGTATACAAAAATTCTATGAAACGCATACATTAAATTAAATTAAAGAATAAATACCTTTTTTAGTCTCTGACAAAAAACAAGGTCCCCACTTTAGTCCTTTACAAAAATAAATTAGTCATTTAATCCCTAACAAATTCAAAGTAGACCCATTTAGTTGAAATCGTGGTCCCTCACAAATTTAAAAAAGACCCATATTAGTTCCTCAAAAGGACTAAAATAGGTCCACCTTGAATTTGTTAGGGACTAACTAACTAATTTATTTTTGTAAGGAACTAAAATGATGACCATGTTTTTTGTTTGGAATCAAAAATGGTCTTTATTCTAAATTAAATCAAAATGTTATTAACATTGAATGGTTATACGAAAATATTCAAATAAAAAAGAATAAATAATTATCTCGAAATAATTTATTGGCTATAAAACAAAAATTTCTATATGTCCAGTACTATATATTATGGGTTTCAATTTTTTCATGTTATAAATACATATTATGTGGGGCCCATATTTGTTACAAAAACAAAAGAAATTGTTGCACATGAAAATTGAAAAATTATTGATAGAAAAAAATAATTCTCTATAACATCAGAAAATATTTCCATATATTATACTTTTCAATAGAATCAATATATATAACAATTAAAGAAATAGTAATAACTTTCCATTTCTTAAGATGCGGCTATCGTTGTCATGATCGTGGACAGGACAGGATTTCTCACGGAAAAGAATAAAAAGGATTGGATAGGATTGCAAGCATGGCAATGATAATTATTAGGGATAGGTTATTTTATTTATGTTATGGGTAAAGGATCTCTCTAGTCAATACATCATGAGATTATATTAGTCTTTATTATTATAATTTTTTAATCTTATTTTAATCTTATAATCCCAAAACAACGTCGTTTTGAACTCACTGGAAGTAATTTTATCTCCGGTGATGGGAGAAATATTTTTCTCTTTATTTATTATTGATTATCACTCTCTAATATTATTAAATAAGAAGGGAAAGATTATAGTTATTACCTTTTTGTTACTACTTGTTACTACCAAATTTTAATTGTTGATTTCCGTCAATCTAACGATTATAATTTATTAGAATTAATAATTAATTAATAAATGTGACCCAATAAATTATAACTGTTAGATTGGCGGAAATCAACCGTTAAAATTTGGTAGTAACAAGTAGTAAGAAAAAATGTAGTAACTATAACCTTTCCCAAATAAGAATCTTAACTATCATTATTATTTTTCTCTTCTATTCAAATTCTGATGTAATAATATTGGAGAGTGATAGACAAAAATAAATAAATAAAAAAAGTAGAATAGTATATCCTAGTTATTATAATATATAGATATATGCTAGAATTGAATTATTAGCATGTTTGTTTTAGATTTTTGTTCAACCTAATATCCGTTCACTAATGGGAGGAGGAAATTTTTTTCCCCCTCTCGTTAATTTGCATTTTGGTTATTGATCTATCACAAACGTGTTTGAAAGATTAATTTAACACTATTTGGCGTTCCTTGAAATCATTGACAAGCAAGCAGCATAGTGTTGGATATAAATAATTTTGCTAAGTGTGAATATAAATAATGTAGTAAAACAAAATATTCCAGCATCAACATTATGCAGATAAGAACGCTGGGTGAATAAATTGTTTATAAATATATTCATTATTATGATAAAAATAATAATTAACTATTTATCAATCAGAAAAATATTTCTGCAGTTAATACATATAAGTTGTCTGCATTTACTTCCAAAACGACGTCGTTTTGGGATTGAAATATTAGAAAATTATAATTATTAAGACTATAATAACCCTGAAATAAATTAAAATTACAAAAACACTATGATTTTTGTCCCAAAACAACATCATATTGAGCTTACTGTAGAAAAAACGAATCCTTTATCAATTATGTATGTTTACTTTTATTGGGTTAATAATGTACCTAACTCGAAACACCACGTACATGCCTTTTTTTTTATTATTCGATGTCCAACGGTGTCTCCCTTCCTCAATAGAAATTAATGCCTTGAAATTTATTATTATTTATTTTATTATTTTTTGAAGATATTTTAATCGATTTATCACTTTATGACTAGTCCGATTCGGAGTAGATTCTGAAACTAAAATTTTAAATTCCTCTCAAAGACAATAATAAAGAAAATCGAACACATACTCTTATGACCAGTGTTCTCAGACCCAGCCCGGGCAGCGACCCGGTCGGGTACTGGGTTACTAGTCGAACCGGTTGACTTAGATATCTATAAATATAAATATATAAATTTAAAATATTCTCCATATCTAGAAGATATAAACAAGATTCATCAAATAAGTTTAAAAATTATCTTATCACACTATTACAAGTTCATACTTAATCAGTAAATTGCACAAAATAAGAACAAATAAATGAAACTGGATGCTATCTCTATGCCCATGGTGCCAAAATTGTGTCAATCAGAGGCTCTCTTTCTCCACCAAATTCATCTAAATCTTGACCAACATTGCTTGCATTTTGGTCTAGCAGAACAGAAGGTACCTCTAGAGTCTGAGACAGCATGTTCAGAAACGGTTAAATGGGGATGGTAACTTGTTTATCATCATGTCAAGGTCTCTTGCTTATTGGCAAAAATTAAATTTAAAAAAAAAAAAAGTACAATGCTCCAGCTTAATTTTTAACCTGCATAACATAAGGAGCATATAACTAAGTAAAGAGAGAAACTAATGTAACAAAAAATAATAATTATAGAACCAAATCAAGTTCATGAATCCTTGATAGAATCTTGTCCACCGTTAAGCTTCAAGAAACAATGACCAACTCTGGTTTGCTAGTAAATTAATTAAGTAATAAAACCATAAAAGTAAAAAGATATTGTCTACTAAAAAAAAGATATTCGGATGAATAAAAAAAATCAACACCGTTGGAACTTGAAAGCTTAAAACAATCATATGTAATGTATCATCATATTTTAAATTAGAGTCAACAAGCAAATGGGTATAACCTGCGCCCCGTTTCAGTTTTTGAAACTATTTTGAAACCCAAAACTCGTTAGAAACCCCAGTGCTCAGCTGCACCCCGTTTCAGTTTCAGCCTTCAGGTCTAGTTCGATAAATTAGAGTCAATCAGCAACAGGAAGATGGGATGGGATCCTTTGGAAGTTAAAGGAGGCAGGGGAAAATGGAACGCAAAAAAGTTATGGCTTAGGTTAGGGATTTCTTTGGGCTGTGTTTTTTTAGGGAGCACGATTATTTTTTTTAAAAAAATCTGAGTTTCTCACCCGGAGCGGTTCACAAGACTTGGAGGGTCAACGAGTTCCGTAAAAACCCCGGCCAGATCGTTCGGGTTGTACTGAACTAATTGCATGGCCGGTCCAAAGTGTAACTCAAACCGGTTACTCCACCGGGTTCCGGGTTGACCCTGCCATACCAGGCCGGGTTTGACAACAATGCTTATGACTCATCTTTGTTTACTTAGTTCTCTGGCGTCTGGTAAGAAATTTAAACTCACATTTGTAGTCGGAGACTTCCTTGCAGTGATTTTACCATCTTAACTAGTCATTTTAACAGATTAAGTTCAGATGAAATTAAAACACCAAAAATTTATTGCTTCTTGATATTTCGAAAGTTATCTTTTTTTATCCGATTTTCCGGCAAGGTTTGAAAGAGTATAATTTTTCTATGCAGTTTACACAGTTCCTTATTCACAACATAGTCAAATTTATTAATCTCAATCCCTTAGGCCCTACACGATTACCCACGTTAACATATCTAAAACCAAATAAAAGAATCACTTAATCAAATAAGTTTAAATATATTGTGATTTAGCCCATTTTTATGGAAAGAGAAAACTACACTTGATTTAACCCTAGCATAATTATAAAATTCTAACACTTAGCCCTGAACTCGTCCTTGTGGGTACATAATTGTGTGTTTTACAACCATACAAATTTAAAACGTAGATATATGTATATAATATATATATTTCATATGGTGAGAAGAGAGAGAGAGAGAAGCATCATAATTGATCAATAGCAGCAGTTGCCATGACACTGGAGGACAAGAGCAACCACAATAATCTCATAAGAACAGAGCAACTTGTTGAAGAGGAATCTCCATTGCTACCAAGGAAGAGAGATGAGAAGATTCAGGGGTCCAACGGTAGCGGGGCTTCCATTACTGGGTCAGTCTTCAATTTGTCAACTACCATCATTGGTGCTGGGATCATGGCCTTACCTGCAGCCATGAAAGTTCTGGGTCTGGCTTTGGGTATTGTTGCAATCATCTTCCTTGCCTTGCTCACAGAGACCTCTTTGGAGATGCTCATGAGGTTTAGCAGAGTTGGTAAAGCTGGGACTTATGGGGAGGTGATGGGGTATTCTTTTGGTAGTTTTGGAAGATTGGTGTTTCAGATATCTGTTCTTATCAACAACTTTGGGATACTTGTTGTCTACATGATCATAATTGGTAATGCATATGTGCATTTATTTGATGTTATATACACACATTCACACATATTTTTATAATTTTGCATTTCTAATATATTTCTCAATTCGCACTTCTTAGGAATTTGTCATTGAAGAATAAATCTTGGTGTTGCAAGTTGCAACTGATCCAAATTTAGTTTTAATTGCGAGTATTATGCGGCGAATCGTGAACAGAGTTATTTTATAACTTGTCATGCCTTAAAAAGAGGATGAGTTGAATATTTTTTTTGCTTGGCTTTGTAATTGATTTCTAGGTGATGTGCTGTCTGGAACATCTTCGAGTGGAATTCATCATTTTGGTGTACTCGAAGGATGGTTTGGTGAATACTGGTGGACTGGGCGTACTTTTGTTCTTCTTGTGGCAACCCTTTTGGTATTTGCTCCATTGGGGTTTTTTAAGAGGATAGGTACAATACTATGAGTTCAAGCATGTTACTTAATTTACGTTATTTGGTAAGTGGGTTATTATTGTGAATAACCTTTATTTTATTTATGCTTGCAGATTCATTGAGATATACTTCTGCTCTAGCAGTGGCTCTGGCAATTGTGTTTCTAGTCATAACTGCAGGAATCACATTTATTAAATTGTTTAATGGCAGTATAGCGAGTCCCAGGTTGCTTCCAAATATTCTAGATATTACATCTATATGGAATCTTTTTACAGCAGTTCCAGTTCTTGTGACTGCATTTGTTTGTCATTACAATGGTAAGCTACCTGAATCTATCCTGCAATTTTAAAATTTGCAATTTACTCTTGTTGAGAAGACCCAAATTTCAAATTCAACAACGGCTGAAAAACTTTGAACTTTTATATGATTGAAAAGGAAGGAAAAGGAAACATTTTCCATCTGATACAAGTCTAAGTGGAAAGGGTTCCCTTCTCTGTTTATGTTCTTGGTAAATAGTGCTCCTAATTCCTTTTGTATTCTGGAGAAATTCCACTCCCGAGTAACTGGAATGGGGAAAGAAGAGTTCACTGTTATAGCTCAGGGTTTTTGTGATAGCTTATTGAGATGCATTATGTACTGAATGGATCAAACTGTGTCAAGCATCATACTCTTTTTTAGGTGTTTCTTCCTTGAGAATATGCCCAAATTTGCACATTTCTCTTTCTAGTGTTCCAGTTAATTATTTTATTTTCCATTTTAAAATCCTGATCAAAGAAGTCTCCTCACTTCCATAAAAGTAGAGAGACTAGTCAATGATTCAAATGCTGTTACCTGAAATAGTTGGAGTATTTGACTACTACTCTCTGCCACAATTTTTCCCCCCTACTTTTATTGAGAAAGTCTTTAAATGTGTATTATTTTTCTATTCAAATAGAAGTAAATATTTCATTTCAAGTCTATCTGGTAAAATCTTTTCATGAATCTAACATAACTGAACCAGAATCGAGGTAAAAAAATAGAGTTTATTGATTGAACAAGCAATCTCTGAATCTGTATCAAAATGATACTGAAACAGAGACCAAGAAACAGTACAGAACAAAGCCACTAGGAGTGGACTAGTGGTGAGGAGCTTGGATAGTTTACATCAGTATAGAATAACAGGGATTCAGAATTGGCTTTCCCTCCTCGTCTATCTTCTCTAAAACCAGAAAACTACCCTCTATCATTTCCCTCCTATTATTTGTGTACACTGTTGTCTCTCCCTTTCTAACTAACTGTTGACTCAGCTGTCAACATAACTGTAATTGAGTTGGAGGTCTGCTAACAAAATCCATATTTGGACAGCATCTTCAGTTAGTCTTGACTTGGTTCAATGCATCTCTCTTTGCTTTGGAGCAACATAGTCTTAGAACAATTAAAGGTGACAAATAAAAATAGGGTTTTATTAGTGTTATGTAACATAATGTAAGTGTTGTTTCCAACTCTCACATCAAAAGGGAGAGAGAAAGTGGAATGATGAAAGAGAAAGAAAAACATGTGGACCCCACCTCTTTAATGTGTGTGTAGGAAAGGGAAGTTATATTATGTTAAATGATAAACATAAAACCCATAAAAATAATAGCAACTTTACCCCATATTTTCCTTTGTTATGAAAGCAAAGATACAATGCATTCAAAAATGCTACTGGCAATGAGAGGTCCATTCACTCCTTACACTTCGAAAACTTACAGACTTACAACTTTATTAATGGCATCTATGCTTATTCAGTATGATTCCACATGCAGATTGGAATAAGGTTTTTAGACTGTGCTTCTTGCTGAATTCCCTTTTTTTCTTTAAAAAGCCAATCCAAGCAAGTTTGATTCTATGTTTGGCACTTTGTTATTATTTGTCATTCAAACAAATTTATTTACATGTCACAATATTCCATTTATGCTTTCTGGTTTACTGAGATATTTGATATAACAAACAATAACATGGAGCAAATTTATGTACTAGAAAAAATATTTTTGACCAAAGTTCTGTCTTGTGCAGTGCATACAATAGACAATGAGCTAGGAGACTCTTCCCTGATACAATCAGTTGCACGTGCATCACTGGTTCTGTGTTCTACTATATATATTCTTACAGCCGTATTTGGATTTCTCCTATTTGGTGAGTCAACTCTGGATGATGTTTTGGCCAACTTTGATACTGATCTGGGCATCCCTTATAGCAGTCTGCTGAATGACGTTGTTCGGATTAGCTATGCCCTCCATCTCATGCTTGTTTTCCCAGTTATCTTCTTCTCGCTACGCTTCAATTTGGATGATCTTATCTTTCCTTCAGCTAGGTCACTGGAATTAGAAAAGTGTAGGTTTGTCTTGATCACCACTGGACTCATTTCTTTACTCTATGTGGCTGCAAATTTTATACCTAGCATCTGGTATGCTTTTCAATTCACTGGAGCAACTGCCACTGTTTGCCTTGGGTTTGTTTTCCCTGCAGCAATTGCTCTGAGGTGGGTTTCCTCTTTTTAATCTAAATGTTACTCGTGATCACATCATTTTTCATTATTTTGGGTTAATTGCGTCATCTTCCGCGTGATTTATTATTAGTTACTCATCTAGGCATTTAACCTCAGCCTCTATAGTCCATAGAAATAATTGACTTGTATTTTTGGCTCTTGGCTTCTATCAAAATAAACCCATCTGTATCTACAGCTAAAACTTTAGGCATTCCCCAGTTCCCATTTTAGTATTAAGGCCTCTGGACTGCTATGATTTCTAATTATCTTCTGGTATATAGGATAACACTTATAGAGATGGCCATGTTTTAGTAAAAGGCTGAATAGTAGCATGCCAGTTGTTTAACTCAATTCTGCCAGCCTGAAATTCAAGAGTGTTGAGTTCCTATTTCCTGTATTCTTGGTAATCCATGCTGGAGTGGTAGAAGCTGCTCAAGTTGCTCCATGAATGTACAGATTCAGTGACAAAGCCATTAGTATTAAGTTGGCTCAAACATCAAAGCTACATAGAGGCATTTTCCCTACTAACCTATATTTCTGCTGTTTCAGGGATCCCCACGGTATTGCAACAAAGAAGGACAAGATTTTATCCATTGTCATGATTTTTCTTGCTGTGTTCTCAAACGTTGTGGCTATATACAGTAACGCAGATGCCTTGTTCAGGAAACATGTTGATCCTCACCAATGAGTTACTTGGGTGCGTATACTATCATTGTCAGAGAAAAGGTCTCTTTTAAGTCAATGAAAAACTAAGCCTTAGAGAGAGTTTTCCCAAGGCTCACACTTCAAAGAGTTTGGGAAGGAAAATTGTAAGTTCAAGTTAAAGACTATCTGAAATATAGACATTAATATTGCACACACATGTAATGCTAATGTTTCTCAAAGCACTTATCAAGCGGTGCCTAATCGTGCTAGTTTTTAGAAAACTCTAATCCTGTGCCCATCTAGTCTGGATCCGGATCCTCTCATGTGAAAATTCACATGACCATGTCATGTGGAAAATCATAACCATACAAAGGTGGATCAATGGTAATAAAAGAGGAGAGAAAAAAATGTTAAAATAAGTAGTTACGAAATCATAACTGTTGATTTATCTTTGTATGGTTGTGATCTTCCCACATGATTATATCATGTTTTTTTTACACATGAGAGGATCCATTTACATCTAGTTTACTTGATTCGACAATTTTGTTGTTGTTGTCCCTTGAATAATTTTACTATAATACGCTAAAAGTATGGGTAATTTTGATGAATAGTGATTATCGGTTAATATTTCTAATCATATTTTTTTTTAAAATAATATCATGTCATGATTGAATTATCTCTTCTAACGGATAATTTGTTGTGCCAAATGATCACTCAAAAGGACAATTTTCTTTTAAAATGTTAAACTGGCTCAGATAAAAATATCAATTCATTTGTAAATTTTATGTGATGAAGAGCACAAACTAAATTGAACAATATAAACCATTACAAAAATTTTAAAAAATGTGCTAAGGCTCTGCTAGGTTTTGGTGCATGGTAGACGACGTAAACGGTGCAACCTTTGCACCATTGAAGGAACCCGATGGTGGAGCAAACTCTCAACAAGTTTGAGATGACGTGTCAAATCTGATCAAGATCGATGGCCCTGCTATGCGCGATCTAGATTCAAGCGACTATAACATGCTGGATGTGGGTCAAAAATAGAAACCTCCTTCATTTGTGGGAGTGGTGCGATCACTTCATAACAAGTAGGATGGTGAGTTGCCAGAAGAAGAGGATTTCGAACCAGGTTCTGCAGAAAAAGAAGGGGACATCAAGCAAAAAAGGAACGAGAAGAGTACTAATAACATTTAAGCTATCGAGTGAATTCAAACAACGCGCATGAAGGTGGAGACAGTCCTTTATTGTCAAGTCATTAAGAAAGCTGTAACACCCCGTTATCAAACCGACGTGTTATCAACAATTATGTATTAAGCGCAGTTACAATCATAATATTACATTTAAAAATATGGGAAGACTTTTTCTTTTTATCAATGCTTACCCTTTTAAAACAACCGTATTAACCATTTTACCAAATGTAATCATAAATCATAACTATTGCGAAAACATAAATGCTATAGCTTAACATCATACAACATTGATTTCAAGCTGCTAGATGGTTTCCATAAACCAACAAAGCTTAATTACACAATTTGATATTTTACAGACTTGAGATACCTTCGGTTTTCCTAAAATTGCAAATGGACTACTGGTCCATAAATTTCCATCTTTTAATATGTTAAACTACACTCTTCTAACTTTCCAAAGAGGTATCCGTAGAATATGTAGAATATTCTAGATAGTATTTATTGATGTAGTTGGTAGTTGTATATTTAGTTGGTAGTTGTATATTTATTGATGTAGTTGGTGGTTGTATATTTACTAAAGTAGTTGAGGTAGTTGGATGTACTTAATATAAAAAGGACCCATTGGGTCTCTCAATGAATCAAGAAAGTATTATTCAGACAAAACACTTCTTCCACTTCTTCTTTTCTTCATGGTATCAAGAGCTGGTTATATTACAGTCTCTTCCCCGTTCTGATTTATTTTTAAGTCATTTTCCTATTCCTTTTTTTTCGTTTTAGCCACTGCCCTAGCCAGAATCCTTACCTAGACACCTCCAACCACGAAACCAAGGCCACCATTAGGTTCAGAACAAAATTTCGAGCCAGCCCACATAAGACCCGTAGCAGTACTGTTCATTACTGTAGCAGTACTGTTCATTTACTGTAGCAGTATCGTTCATTACTGTAGCAATCATTGTTTCACTCTAGCCAAGATTGCTCTCATTCATTGATTTTGGCGAGCAACCCTCTTCCTGTTCTGAGGGTCAAAATCGCATTTGGAGGAACTTTTTTCTGGGTACCTGTTGTTAGAAAGCCATGGACGCTGAAAATTTTGAAAATTCGTCTTTTCAGAAATTGATGTCTTAACCTGCTGAGGCAACTAGTCATGTTGCTCAAAAAAGTATGGCATTCCATGTTGAATGTAGTAATCGTTGGATCCTTGATTCACGGGCCTCTGATCACATGACAGGTAATGCAACCTTATTTTTCTCCTATACCCCTTACTATCACCTGTCACGAATAAGAACAGCTGATGGGAATTTCTCCACTATTGCGGGAAAGGGATCCATTAAACTTTCTGAGCATATTATTTTGAACTCAGTACTTCATGTTCCCTCTCTTACTTGTAATCTCATCTCTATTAGCAAACTTACTGCCGAGTTGCATTGTGTTGCTAAGTTCTCTGCAAATGCTTGTAGCTTTCAAGAACAGGACTCGGGGAAGATGATTGGCAGTGTTAGAGAGGAAGAAGGGCTCTACTATTTTACAGAGGTTCATTGTGAAAAGAGGATTTTTTTGAACCACTCTCTATGTTTATCAGATGACTGTAATGATGTTTTGTTATGGCATCGTAGGTTGGGACACCCAAATTTTGTTTATCTCCTTAAGTTATTCCCGAACTTATTTATCAATAAAAAGTCAAGTTCCATTCTTTGTGATATTTGTCAGCTTGCAAAGCACTCTCGTGTCACTTATTCTCCTAAGAAATATCATGAATCTTCTCCTTTTACATTGATTCATGGTGATATTTGGGGACTTGCTCGTGAAAAGGATGTCTCGGGTGCTCGTTGGTTTATTACTTTCATTGATGATCATTCTAGGGTATGTTGGGTATATCTCTTAAAAGATAAGTCTGAGGCAGCATCCACTTTTACAAACTTTCATGCTATGATTCAAACTCAATTTCAGACCTCTATCAAAATTCTGCGAACAGACAATGGTACTGAATATTTTAATTCAGTTCTTGGAGATTACCTAAACCAGCATGGAATTATTCATCAAAGTTCTTGTCCTAACACCCCTCAACCAAATGGGGTGGCTGAAAGAAAAAATAGACATCTAATTGAAGTTGCTTGAGCACTTTTATTCACGATGCATGTCCCTAAATATCTGTGGGGGGAAGCCGTCTTGACAGCCTGTTATCTCATTAATCGGATGCCTTCTCGAGTACTAAATTTTCATTCTCCTTTATCCTGTCTTACTAAATCTTTCCCTCTTTCAGTGCTCTTTCTTCCCTTCCTCCCAAAATATTTGGCTGTGTGGTTTTTGTGCATATTCCTCCACATCAAAGGTCCAAACTTGACCCTAAATCCATTTGATGTGTCTTCATAGGATATTCCCCAAATCAAAAAGGTTATAAGTGTTACTCACCTTCTCTCCTTAAGGTTTTTATTTCCATGGATGTTACCTTTTATGAAACACAACCCTTTTTTTCCCCGACTTCTCTTCAGGGGGAGTCTATTGGTCTTGGTATGGATGAAGATAAGCCTGGGAAACCAAATGATGCTACTATCTTACCTTGGCATTTGGAAACAGGGGGAGTTATTGAGAAGGAAACAGGGGGAGCAACTATACCTGAGTCTAATGATCCTCCTTCTCATCAAGCCACTATACCTAAGTCTAATGATCCTCCTTGTGATCCTCTTGGAAAATGGGGAAAATTTTATAGCAGGCGCAAAACACATCAAGATGCCCTAGACTGCCAGAATCCTGACTTGAGTCCTGGTTCCAGCAACCCACTTGAATGCACTAGTACAGCCAACATTGATATGCCTATTGCTCTTCGGAAAGGTACTAGATCTTGCATTGCTCATCATATTTCCCCTTATATCTCATATGAGAAGTTGTCTCCAGGTTTTCGTGCTTTCAACACTATGTTAGATAGTATCAGGATACCCAAAAATATCCTAGAAGCACTTGATGACCCAAAATGGAGGAATGCAGTATTAGAAGAAATGGATGCACCTATAAATAATGGAACATGGGAGTTTGTGACATTACCTAAAGGAAAGAAAACTGTTGGTTGCAAGTGGGTGTTCACAATAAAATTCAATGCAGACAATGCATCAATAGGTATAATGCCTGATTAGTTGCTAAGGGATTTACTCAGACTCATGGGATGGATTATCAGGAGACATTTGCTCCTGTTGCCAAACTTAACACTATCCGCGTTCTGCTATCTCTTGCCGCCAACCTTGATTGGCCATTGCAATAGTTAGATGTTAAGAATGTCTTCTTGAATGGTGATCTACATGAGGAAGTTTACATGGATCCACCTCCTGGTTTTGAAAAAGGGGATGGTTATGTGTGCAAGTTGCAGAAGTCTCTCTATGGACTTAAACAATCTCCCAGAGAATGGTTTGGGAAATTTACTCAAGTTGTTAAGGGAAGAGGGTTCACCCAAGCTCAGATTGATCACACTTTATTTTTTAAACACTCCGACAAAGGAAGAATGGCTATTCTGATCGTTTATGTTGATGACATAATTGTCACTGGTAATGATAGCGAGGAGATAAGCTCTTTAAAAAAATGTTTAGCTGACCAGTTTGAACTAAAAGATCTTGGATCTCTCAAATATTTCTTTGGCATGGAAATTGCTCGGAGTAAGGAAGGAATTTCTTTAACTCATAAAAAAAAAATACATTCTAGACCTGTTGCAAGAAACAGGTATGCTTGGGTGCAAGCCGGCAGAGACTCCAATTGAAGCTAATATCAAGATGGGAGTTGAGGATGAGGAAGATGTTGATAGGGAGCAGTACCAGAGACTAGTGGGGAAATTAATCTATTTGTCTCACACTCGTCCTGATATTGCTTTTGCTGTGAGCATGGTTAGCCAATTCATGCATTCTCCTAATGAAAAACACCTTAATGTTGTTTATAGAATTCTCAAATACCTCAAAAATACCCCTGGTCGAGGAATTTTCTTTAAAAAGGGGCACAAAAAGATGATTGAAATCCATACAGATGCAGACTGGGCTGGCTCAGCAATGGACCGAAGATCTACTTCAGGATATTGTACTTATGCTGGGGAAACCTTGTGACCTGGAGAAGTAAGAAACAAACTGTTGTTGCAAGAAGCAGTGCAGAAGAGGAATTTCGGGCTCTAGCCCATGGTATTTGTGAAGGAATTTGGTTACGAAGGCTTCTGGAGGAGTTGAAGATCTCTTATTCCCTACCTATCAGATTATATTGTGATAATTAGGCTGCTGTCAGCATTGCTCAAAATCTTGTTCATCACGACAGAACAAATCATGTGGAAGTTGATCGTCACTTTATCAAAGAGAAATTAAAAGACGGTAGTGTATGCTTGACATATATACCTACCAAGGAACAG